TTTTCCCGTTTCCTCTTTGTACCGTGATCAATCCTTCTTTAATTACGCGATAAATTGTCGTTTTTGATATTTTAGTTAATTCGTTAATACGTTTCTTAACTTTTTTATCACATTGTTCACTATTTTCAATTTTCAAACATTCATATATATTTAATATAATGCGTTGACGTTTTACGTGTAAATCTTTGTTTTTAAACTCTGAGATTGTTTCGATACTTTCGACCGGTTCCACTATTTGGGGATTTTCCAGAGTTATTTCCTTATCCTCCGCTTCAAAGAGTCTTCAGAGAGCCACTGTAAATTACTAGATAATTACATATACTTAACATTTATTTTAATAATTATTACCCTTTACTGGTTACGATACGAACAAATAATAATATCAACTAATAAATAATAATACGTATTATACCAACAACATACCCCGCCAAGCAATGCTCTGCACTGCATTGGCAAAGCGGCAAAGCTAAGTGAACCCGTGTACCATACAAAAAATGATTTACGACCTAGTGGACCAATACAGGTTTGCTTTGATGACCAGCGCGCCACCGTCAATTCTACATCAGGCGGACTAGGTTACCAATACCGGACTCGCCGAATTGATATTCGAGTATAAATTACGAGACACATCATGGTCAAAGCATAGAAAGAAACAGAAGTGCATACGGTCTTCTGCTTTAAGATTTGTTGGTTCCAATTGACATCGTAACAACTATACTTGGTGTTCAATAATATATACGGGGTGTTTCTTCAATCCGTTCCTTACCCCGTAAAAAGATGCAATGAAGAAAAGGGATGCAATTTTCAACCCCTTTAAAGGGGTGTAGCTCCTCCTTACTTTTTGGCAAGGAATCTCTCCTTAAAATTTTACGCAACATTAAAGAAACACCCTGTATAATATATTTTAATGCCAAGTGCAAAGTTTGTTGCAGAAGGCGTTTCGTGACTTGAAATAGCTAAAACTGGTGTATTAATTATAATTATTTTATATACTGATGGGACACATGTCGGAAATATCAAATTTAAACAAACACCATGTTATAATACTCTTTACATCACACCCCTGAGACAATGGATAATGTAGAGCCCTCGAGGACGGGGACGTAACAGTCTCTCGCCTCTGGTTGATTATGCACGAGCGCGGGCTGCAATAATGGAATAGCACGCCGTGTGGTGACAAAGGAATAACAAATATAAAAAATATTGGCTTTTGTACGCGCTTCGCAAGTGCTTTCAGAATTTCGCTAGTGTATTTTATGGACCCGCAAGTCGACCGGCTAACCTAACAAGTAATAAAACAAGTAATAACGTAACAGGCTATAATATTCGGGTCACCGTCGGGATTTCCCACACGATAAAAACAATTACATATTGTCAAAGGGGCTTTTCGACGCAGGGTTCGGCGAGTATATTAAGGCGCCCTCACACGACGCGAAGGTCGACGAATCAGCAAATAGTGGCCGCTATAGTCTGTTTGGAAATGAAAGAGAGTAATAAAACCCCGAGATAAGAACCGGCCATGGGCGTGGTAATATTTCGTTTCAGGTAATTATCGGGTAACACTAATGCTAACAAAAATGATAGGGATTGGAAAATCGACTATCTACAGACTTTTAAAGGAAACAAAAAATGAACAAGATACTGTAAATCCCCCAAAATCATCTACAGGGAGGTCAAAAGTCGTTATAGTTGATTTCTTCAAAAATGTCATTCGCAGAAAAGTACACTCATTTTATTTTAAAAAAGAAATACCAACGCTAAACAAAATTTTAAGTGAACTTTCAGAGGACAACGATTTGCCAAAAATCAGTAGAAGCAAATTATGGGCCGTCTTACGAGAGTTGAATTTTTGCTGGGAAATGCAGAACAGGAAGTCAGTTCTTATCGATAAAGATGAAATTATTTGTTGGCGAAGATCCTACTTAAGATCAATTAGAAAATTCCGTGACGAAGGGAGGAATATTTATTATCTAGACGAAACTTGGGTCAACGAGGGATATACTGTAACAAAAGTATGGCAAGATAAAAATGTAAAAAGTTTTCGACAAGCATTTTTGGATGGACTTTCAACAGGGTTCAAGGCACCTTCAGCTAAAGGGCGAAGATTAATAGTGACACATATAGGTAGTGCCAGTGGTTTTGTAGATGGCGGTTTACTTTTATTTGAATCTAAAAATACAGGTGACTATCACGAAGATATGAACGCAGATGTTTTCGAAGAGTATTTTACACAGATGTTGGATCTTATTCCTCCGGGGTCTGTAATTGTCATGGATAATGCCAGTTACCATTCACGGCAGACCGAGCGGACGCCTACGACTGCTTGGAGGAAAGCCGATATAATTCAATGGTTATCCGGAAAAAACATTTCTTTTGAAACAAATAAGGGGAAAAGGAACTTTTGACACTTCACGTCAATCTTAATAAAGATCAGAAAAAATATGTTATCGATGAAATGGCAACAAATCGCCAAATAACGGTACTACGCACGGTTATCACCTTATCACTGTGAACTTAACCCAATCGAATTGGTCTGGGCGCAGGTAAAAGGAGATGTAGCGCGAAATAATACGACGTTTAAATTAAGTGACGTGAAAATTTTGTTAAAAAATTCCTTGGAACGAGTAACTGCAGATAACTGGCAAAGACGTATACATCATGTACAAAAAGAAGAGGAGAAAATGTGGGAACTCGATAATTTAATTGACGTTACTGTGGAACCTATCGTTATCAATCTAGGAGACGAAGATAATTCATCAGAATATTCAGAGGATGAATTTTAATATACCTACTTTTTTATTTTCTTTATTGTACATTTATACAACACTACATTTACTCACCATAATTTGAATTTTCAAAATATATATATTTTTGTATGGAATAAAAGTCTATTCATTAAACTTAAATAAATAGTTTGATAATAATATTGAATAATTTTATTTGAATTAATGCTTAAAGTAGCCTCATGTTTTGAAATGCTGTTTTTATATTGTTTACTTATAAGAGAAATGGACCGAGAAATTGAAGCGGCATAGACAAAGACGGATTGTCGGGGATTAAATTTTAGCTACCTGCTACAATTTAGTACAGTACGATCGCACAAAATTTTTTTAAAAGTACACCTCATCCTATACCGATAATACATAATATAAAAATATTGACCAGTACTACATTTATTTACGATTTGCATACATAATAAGCTTTTATTACTCTCTTTCATTTCTAAACAGACTATAGTCGTGGCCGAGTCAAAGCAGAACAAATACCAAGTGCAACAAGCCAACATTCATATGCAAAATCGGAAGTTAGGGTTTCCATTTTTTATGAATTATCGTGAGATTTCGCATTTTCGATGAAATCTCACGAACTTACGACAAACATTAAATCACTCGATTTTTGACAGGGTTACAGGTACCATAGCAAATAATGTTTTCGAAGAAATTATACTATAGTTCGCCAATATAATCTCAATCTAGAATCGTATTAAAAGTAAAGAGAGAGACAGATCTATATGCCGTTCTGTCTTATTGTATGACCTTGGTTCAACTTCCGTTTACTGTTTCTTTATCATATTCGATAGACGGCTTTAATGTGTTATTTTCTTCAACACTTACTGGTTATTGCCTTATATTATTGCGTAGTTCCCCAAATATAAAAAAATACCTAAAACCAATCTCTTCAGTGACTTGCATTATTTTATAGCAAGGCCGCGCATAATAATAAGATGACACTACGAGATTCGTATGAGTTTGTTGAAAATTGCTGGTAACCAAACAATGGACGGGCACCCACAGACAAATCTTTGTCGGTAATGTGTCTTGTCCGCTGACCTTTATTAGAATATAGAGCACTGTTACAGTTCCGCCAAATTGCTTATGTAGTGGGCAGGCGCAGCATTTGATTTAGCGCATTTAATTACAAATACAAATCGTGTCGTGAACGCATAGATACGATGTAACACGATCATACACGAAAAGCCAAACCGGCTACTGAGCATGTGCAAAATATGTCTGGTGTGGGAAATCTAACCTCAATAGTTTCGTCTTTAACGGGAATAACATTTTTCGCGTAGAATAGGAACCATGGATCCCATGCCCAAAAGTACCCAAACAACTCTCTACGAGAAGCAGGAAGCGCGGTGCGAAAAATAAAATGTTTCAACATGTTTCTGAAGTTCTCAGCTGTCCGAAACCAAAGCTACAGCAGCCGACACCGCCAAAGGCCGTTGCTATCGACAAAGCAGCTGACGACGTGCTGTAAAGTTGGAAAAATCACCCCAGTTTCGGATTTCGGAAAATAAAAACTTCTCCAAAAATAATGCGATATTCGAAATGAAGAATCACTAAGCACACTACCACGTCAAACTTCAAGTCCATCACTCGTTCTAAGTGAGTACAATCCGAAAATGGGCAAACTCCTAAGAGGCCAATAATTATCCAAACCTAAAGAGGACAATCCTGGCGGCTTGTAGTTCAGTAACCAGGGACGAAGAACAAGTATTTAAATAAAAGGGGCGATGGGACAGAAAGTTTAGCGCACCAGTGATAAAATTATGATGCAAGAGATATAAAAATTGAGTAGATTAAATACTAATGCAATTGGAAAGCATGACACATTTAATTTTTAATTATTAATTATTATACTTAATTTTTTTAACAATCGCCACGCGTCAGTGTTAAAGATCGCTTTCACATGCGCAACAACGCAACAAAACCGCTCTTCTCAAACACTTGTTTTATTATGTATGTTTTTTTTTTTCTAAAATTTTGAACATTTATTATATGAGGTACAATGAAGTAAATAAATGTATCTTGTACTACTTTACTAAAAGTAGACCTAGTACGTTTATTTCCCAAAGAACTAGATCATAAAAAATGTACACCATTTGATATTCTAGCTAGAAATTAAGTTCACCTTCGGATACTGGATTACTTATTCGCAACCGGTGGGTATTAACATTCTGAGGCGCCTAGGCGTACCTACATTTCTAACATACTTACCATAGTGCACGAATCTACCATCCAACGATCCAAGGTAATCCTGAAACAATAACGGACGGTTAGTCGACTGTGATGGCGCAATGTTTTGAAGCGGCCTTTCGGCCATGAAAGTATCGATAGGGAAATATAAAGGCGACCGCACACGTAGCGCCTGAGGCAGCACGTTTCTTACTTAGAATGCTTTTATTTTTCCGTTTCGTTATTGGAACTAATATTGCCAATAAACTAATAATATATTAGCAATAAAAAAAGTCAGACTAAAATTAATCTATCAATGAAGTTTTGCATGTCCACACAGCGGGTTTGATCATAGCCTGTCAAACCACCTGTATTGTCATCTTAACTGATTAATTAACAATTTTGTCGTTTATAACAGCAACTTAGCAAAATTAACTGAAAAATGTTGAATAAAAAAATAAAATAAACAGTGTACCTGAGCATAAATATTCCTTGCTTTTTGAAAAATACGTGTAAGTTTAATATAAATGCACAGTTTCAATCATTCAATGTGCCAACTTAAATTTCTAGTCAAACTGAGATAGCATGTTTTTACTTAAAGATCTCAGTTGTTTTCCTCCCAGGCTGCATAGCCGCACTACCCTACCCAACCATACCACACATAAACATGACACTACCCCCGGGGTTTACACAGACGAGCCGGCGAAGCAAGAAGAGCGCCAGAAGAAAGGGCCCTAGCCGGCGGGGCCCAGCCAGGACAAAAGGAGGTCCCACAAAGCGCCTACACCGGCCGCATTTGCGGTCGGGGTAGACGATGGATGGGGCCCACCTACGAAGGCTGTCCAGGCCTACACGAGATGAGGCAGGATAAAGAGGGATAATCCCCCTCGATCCCAAATCATTGAGGCCAATTTCTAGCCATAGAATAATGGCGCGAGTTGTTTTCCAAGCTTAATTTGAGATAGCATGTTTTTCAACCGAAATATGAAATAGCATGTTTTCGTACAAAAGCGTGGATATGTACTTGATAAGTCATAAAAAATAGTACCCAGTTGAACCTGTTTTTTAAAACAGCATCATCATCACGAATCAGCATCTATAAATATTGGTATTCGTAATTAATTATATTTTTTAGGAGACTCAAAATTTAAATTATGCCACTTCATTAAATTCCTATAAAATATGTTATACAAATCCATATAACGGGTTTAAATGTTTGTGTAATTTGAATCAAAAACTAAACTACTAGTTCCTAAAAAAACCACTGTAGTATCCATTCGTCATTTCATTTCATAGCCGACTTAAAATATAACTAAAAACCGGACTTTGTGAATATTATTGCGTTTTAGATTAATCGGATGCTATTTACAAGTGAAAATAGGACTATTATAGATTTTTATTTCATACTGTATATATGTATACACAGCATATCGGCTACAAGTAAGTTATAGAACAACACATTAAAATACACAAGCCCCACATAGCAAGGAGAAAAAGTAAACAATTTATGTCGACGGCGAGAAGTGTAAAAATGTAACATTAACATAAATCTATCTGGATTGCGTAATTGTAGGTATAAAATGTACAAACTGTGGCATATTAAGGTACCTACCTTAAAATTGGACAACTACTAGGGAGATCTAAAGACTCAGCTTTCAGCCAATTGTAATGTAAGTGAAAAATTTATTTGCAGACCCTTTGAAATTAAAAAAAACGGTGAATTATAAATTACCATTTGTAGACCAATAGAGATTTATGATTTATGAATATACCCAACATAAATCAGCATAAAAAGCACAGAGTTTAGATCTTCTAGGTTGGCCATGGATTTTATGTTGCTAGCTTTGCAGAAGTAGCACCCAATATATTTTTTTAGGTTTACGTATCAATAGTTTCTAATAAAACAAACTCAGTCTCAGGCTGATTTGGATGGAAAACGGAAACATTCAGACAGTGCCTGTAGAACATGTGATGTCAATTTTGCAACACACAAGGTGTGTCCCAAATATAGGTTTTTCTAGTGAGGCCATCTATTGGCAATTACATGCGTCTTAAAGGAAGATCCTTCACTATACTGTCAAAATTTCATGACATTTGGACGAAAAGGGGCCTATTTTCAATAAAATACATCGGTTTTTCCAAAAAAACTTTTTATTGTTCTTATTTTTAAAAAGTATATTGTATATTATTTAAAAATTTGCAATTATTCACATATATTTTATAGTTTTTGGTGATATACAAAACGCCAATGTAATATCAGTTTTAAACGAAATTTAAAAAACCTGTATTATGTTACCTTTGGTTTGTTTTTAGCTTTTATTCGATGGCTATAGATACCGAGGTTAACGGCAAGGAATTACTTTTCCAGGATATACCCTACCTATATGCAAACACAAACTAGTTTGCAAATAAAATAACTTTGTCCATAAACTAGTCGTGTCTGTGACAGCTTGTAAAATTTCACTAGGTAAATATTTTGTTATTATCTAACAACATTTATTGTAGGAAATTTCGTAAATATTTATAGGTTATTTTTAGAACAAACACGTTTTGTTTTGATCCTTTTATTTGACAGCGCGATATTCCTACAACGGAATTAAATGAAAAAAATTTCGGATCTGCTCAGTATTGTATTGGACGCAGCCAACCGAGTATTTTGTCAGATAGTGCACATATTTCTAGTTAATGACAAGTCCTGGAAAAATAGATATAGAGAATTCGAATGTTTATTAAAATGACAGAACGACTGCCTGCTGTTTCTACAGGTTAATTGCCCTCGCGACGGAACAGATTTAAAAAAGACCCACGCCAAGATGTCTTGGCTAATGTAGCGTGTTTAACAACAGGAACGTGAATCACACCGTGTGGAACTATTTATTTACGAATTACACGTAAAAGAAACAAACAACGTCTCTCGACACGCCACCCGTGTTATAAACAATAATTCTTACGCTAATTAACTATTACGGCCTAAGAGTTCGTTTTAAAATGAATAGACCTCCTGAATGGTTAACAATGGAATAAAGAAACGTGTAGTAGAAACTAAGGGCGGTTTTCCACGACACGGGATTCGGGAAGTAAATCACCTTTAAATCATGCCGCCAGTTTGGAAGCGAACGACTGCAATGTATCTGCGCAGACTGCTGTTTTCCGCGACTGGGTAATTTAGATGGGAAAATTATTAAAAAAAAATTAAACTTGTACTACAACAAAATATCAAAGTTATGATTGCTGCGGAAAGTGGGAAATGGGAGTGTGTGCAGTAGTATGATATATCTTATCTTTCTCTTCCTAAATCTAATCTATGGTAAACTCCCAAGCTTCGTCAGGTCGTCTCGGCAAATTCATTTAGTAACGATAATGGTTAAAACTGTTGGAACACACGATCAACTTAACATAACCTCAAAGTATATGTATTTGTGTTAGATGCATGTGTAGAGCTCGATCAAACCCATCTTCTCTGCGAGAAGCGAGTATTAAGAAGAGAGTCAGCAATACGAGTGACAAAGGCAGCATACCTTAACAGTAGGGCAAGTACGTTCACAATCAGACAGAAAATTAGCTCCGATGCCGATCTGGTAACATTGCTATTGCGTATCCGACACTCAATGAATTTGGTCAAGCTGTAATTGTTTACATTCCTTCAAACTTTAGGATAACACGTTTGCAAGGGTCAGTCGCTCCTACTGCTGTCGTGTCCGGACGACTAAGCGACGAGTAGACACTTCCCCGTTATTATTAGAACAAAGCGACCTATCGAACGGCAGATATGACGAGCCTGGATCGTTCTAATTTCGTACCACCGGCCGTTTTCCAGGAACGGAATCAAGGACGCGAAAACGCTTTTAATCGTTCCGTTTGATTTCCCGTATGTATAAAATAAATGGGTTGCTCACTGGGTCTTACATATCAGTTTCAGCAGCACTTAGGTGTTCAAAACTGAGAATTAAAAATGAGCACGTAAAGATTTCAAATTAATGGTCATAGATATATATTCCTGCCAGAGTAATCGAAATTGTTCGTTATCGGTCACATACATCGGAATATTACACATACTGATCATAAAAATTTAGGTAATTTAATAAAAAATACCCAGTACGGCAGCTGTAAGAGTTCTTTTGAGTATGTTTTTTCACAAATACAGCGCAAATCAAAAAAACCTTTCATAGATTCAAAGACGCCTCATGAGATGTACTAACGAGCGAAATTTTTTTAATTTTAAAGTAGAGTAAAAAAATTATTGCGCATATTCCCGGTTTGTACTGGAAAAGTATAAAATTTAATGGTTATGAAACACGTCTTTGTGTATAGTTTGACCCTGACTGTAGGTGTAGTACTAACTATAATGTATATTAAGAACTGGGTAATATTTTAATTTAAAAAAATGGACATTTTTCTGAGGAAAATATAAATATACATATTACTAAAATGACTCAGTAAAATAAATATCATGGTGACATGAGTAAATTTTATTTTATGGCGTTATTATTACGTTAGGCCTTATTGTGAGAGAATAATCTCTTTGTACATGGGAAACAGTGAAAATAGAATTCTTTATTTAGATAAGCTTCAAAATAACACCGTGCTTGACATACGTCATAATGTTAATGTTATTTATTCTGGAATTACGTATTTCTGGTATTCATTTCACAGCATAGCTACCTAGGATACAAATTTAATATACGGGGTGCGAGTCTGTTTGTATGAGTAAACTATGTGCATGTCTGCCTACTATGAGGGTGTCCCTCGAGAAAGTACACAAATTATAAGGGACATTCATCAGACAAAAATAAGCAGAAAATGCACCAAACGTTAATGTTTTAAAATATTTCAAGAACGTGTAATATATGATATGTCTAGACGATAGAGCATTCGAGGCGTTTGTATTTGAAGTCATCTTATTTTGTTGTACAGAAAAATCATTGCTAAATTCAGGGGAACAACAAACATACAAAAAGAATGAAAAATGGCCCATGTTTCGACGTATTTTTCCCTGTAACGTTGAAACTAAGCCCTAAATAAAAAAAATCATTCTTTATTTTTTGTTTATTTGACAATTTTCTATAAAGTTACAACTGCGGC